ACAACTATAGACACTGTTAATAAATAGCCCTTCCAAGTCTAAAATTCTAGAATCTAGATGTTTCAGATGAATATGACAACTTCCTTTCTAGCAGCTGTTAACCCCCAAAGTTTAATAACTTTACCCCATTTAATAACTTTCCAACAGGCTTAGATTTAGTTCAGAGATAACTGCATTTAATACTAGTGAAGTTTCTAAAAGACTTTTAATTTTTAAAAAATAATGGGTATTGCAGGGTGTATGGTATGTGAAGACGTCCAATTCCCCCGATGCTAGAGTTACTGGTGGCTGTAAACCACCTGACATGGGTACTAGAAACTGAACTCAGGTCCTATGCAAGAGTGGTATATGCTCTTGGCTGGGTGTGGTGGCACATGCCTTTAATCCTCTGCACCCCAGAGGCAGAGGCAGGTGGATCTCTGTGAGATTAAGACCAACCTAGTCTCCATAGCGAGTTCCAGGCCAGCTGTGGTTACAGGAAGACCTTGTCTCAAAAACAATAACAAAAAAACAGTATATACTCTTAAGCACCAAAGCATCTCTCCAGCTCCTGAAATATTTTTTTTTGTCTTTTTGTTGGTTGTTTTTTTTTTTTAATTCACTTTATCATTTTTTAAAAATTTTATGTGTATGTGCGTATTGCCTGCATGAAGGGCACCGGTGCCATGCAATGCCCTTGGAGGTCAGAAGAGGCTGTCAGATCCCCTGGGACTGGAGTTACAGACTGTTGTTAGCTGCCATGGGGGTGCTGGGATTCGAACCCAGATCTTCTGCAAGAACAACCAGTGTTCTTAACCGATGAGCCATCTCTCCAGCCCTGTTGGTTGTTTATTTAACAGGGTTTCTCTAGTCACAGCCCACCTGGAAGTCACAATGTGAATCAGGGTAGCCTCGATCTCACAGAGATCTTCCTGCCTCTGCCTCCCGAGGGCTGGGATTAAAGGCTCCATGGAGGGCCAGTGAAATGGCTCAGCAAATTGAGGTGCTTGCTACCAAGCCTAGGGACCTGAGTCTGATCCCTGGGACCTACATGGTAGAAGGAGAGAACCAACTCTCGGAAGTTATCTTCTGATCTCCACACATATACTGTAGCAAACACAGGAGCAGACATATACACACACACACACACACACACACACACACACGTGCAAATGAATGAATGAATAAATGAATGAATGAATAAATAAAACTTAACATTTAAACTGCCGGGTGTGGTGGCACACGCCTTTAATCCCAGCACTCCAGAGGCAGAGGCAGGTTGATCTGTGAGTTCAAGCCCAGCCTGGTGTACATAGGGAGTTCCAGGTCAGCTGGGGCTACAGGGAGACCCTGTCTTGAAAAGACCCCCTCCCCCAAAAAAATTTAAACTAAGGAGGGCTGGGGAGATAGCTTAGTTGGTAAAGTGCTAAATTAGATCTCCAAAACGCACATTAAAAAAAAAAATTAAAAAAAGAGCTGAGGATGGTGGAGTTCACTGGTTAGCCAGTCTTTCCTACTTGGTAAGTTCCAGACCAGTAAAAGACCTTATCTCACTAAAAAAAAGAAAGAAAGAAAGAAAGAAAGAAAGAAAGAAAGAAAGAAAGAAAGAAAGAAAGAAAGAAAGAAAGAAAGAAAGAAAGAAAAAGAAAGAAAGAAAAAAAGAAAGAAGGAAGGAAGGAAGGAAGGAAAGAAAGAAAGAAAGGATAGAAGTCACCTAAGAACAACACCCAAGGTTATCATCTGGCTTCCACATGTGTGCACACATGTGTGCACACCCATATGAGACACACACACAAAATTAATCCATGGACTGTTACTTCTCATACTTCTTTATTCTGAAATTAACTTTTTTTCAGTGCTGGGGCTCGAACTCAGAGCTTCAGTCTTGCTAGGCAAGCTCTCTTCACTGAGCCACACACCCGGCCCTGAAACACACACACACACACACACACACACACACACACACACCATTTACACTCTGATCTAGACTTTAATTCAGCTTTATTTTCTTCATCTCTTGGAGCTGGGTCTTTTTTTTTTCTTTTTTTTTTCTGGAACTAGGGAAAATTTTATGGGGTAAAACAAGGCCAGAGAAAAAGTCAAAACTATCTGTAACAATTCAAAGGCCCCTGGTTTTTTTTTTTATTGATAGTGCTGACTTTATCTGTTTTCAAGAAATGGTTTTCCTTTTCCTGGATTAAACACTGCAAAGAGCAGCATAAGGAAAAACACATCTCTCCTCTGCACTGAGCTATGAACTAGTAGTGAAACTCAGAGTGTAGTATTTAACCATTTTGTTTTACTTTGTTTTTGAGACAGTCTCCCATAGCCCAGGCTGGCTTCGAATCTGTTATGTAGCCAAGGATGGCCTTGATTGCCTCCTCCTCCCAAGTGTTGAGATTACAAGTAGGAACCCCAGTGCACTCACTGACAACATGTGATAATCACCCACCAGTTCCTCTAACTCCCCACCAGGAGCAGGAGTTCAAATGGGGACAGGGATAAGGCCAGGGACAAAGTCGGGACATCGACTCTCAATGACTCTCCCAAACACAGGCATTTGCTTCCATTTGCAAAACCCTGGATACTGCTACTAATTAACAGTGGTGATTAATCAGGAGCAAGTACCAGAAGGTCCAACACAGGAGTTGAAAGTTGAAGCCAAAGTTCAGCTTCGAAAAGACTACTTACTTAAAATGACAGCAACCATCTCCTATTGCCCACGACACTTAAGTTGCATTCCAGTTTTGAGTGTTAAGGTGAGTGGGGCATCCATCATCAAGGGGTGGTAGAGACTGTGGGGTCTGCTACCAGCTCAGCCTTGAAGGATCTGACACCTGTCAAATCATGCCTACCTTCCCTATCCAGCACCTGCTTTCACTAATCTGGATTCTTTCAGTTTGAGAACACCTATTTAAATCACATGCCTGTAGTCCCAAGCACTTGAGAGGCAGAGGCAGGCAGATCTCTGTGAGTTCAAGGCCAGGTTGGTCTACATAGTGAGCTCCAGGCCAGCTGGGGCTATAGGGAGTCCCTGTTTCAAAAAGAACAACAACAACAAAAATCACCCCTTTACTCCTCTAACAAAGTAGAAAACAACTTCATAATATGACCTCAGGCTGAGGAATGTAGCTCAGTGGTTGCCTACCATACTCAAGGCCCTGAATTCAATCCCTACGACAATAAAATAAATAAATCAGAACATGACCTCATGGAAACTAAATCATACTTTAGTCTAAATGAATTATACATTAAATAATTTATAATTATACATTACCCTACAGGTGGAGTCTGATTTCCTTGGCCAATTAAGAAAGGGCCTCCACCTAGACCACTCAGATGTGACCACTGAATATTTATATATTTTTTAAAAGAGTGGGGAAGTGCTCTGAGTATTTAAGAAAGCCACAGAACAGAACCAAACAAAGATAAAGAGCTGTTGTTGGCAGAAAAGAAGATTCTAGAACTGGTTCTTTTCTTTCTCTATTTCATGCAGTTTCAACACTGCCCCAGAAATGCATACCCGGATCCATCACTGCAGTGACAAGCAGGAGATGGAGTGGAAGCACGCCTTCCTCCAGACTGCACTGGTCCAGCTCAGCTTTCCTCGAAGCACCGGGGGTTAAACCAATTCCATTCACCTGCCTTCCTCACTCTCCACCAAAGCTATACCCGGCTTCTCCATTGATAAGGTTAAGAATGTACCTACCCAGATGGCTTCCACCCAGCTCAAAATACTGCCTCCCCTGAAATGCTTACAAACTCCAAATCTTGGTCAGGCTGTGGGGGCGGGGACCAGAGTCCGTGGCTAAGCTCTCCCTTTGTCTTTGGCAGCCAGTGTCCCTGCGATAAATTTTGTAAACTTCAGGCTACTTTGATCTTGCTGGGACTGTGCTAGGGTCTTGCCTTAACGCCGGCTCCAGATGGCCAGGGACCGTAACCCGCCTGGCGAGCCAGCCAAGGTCTGGATCATACAAAAGCACACCTCCCCTTTCACAGAGTACTGCCGGGATCACATGATGTCAGATGGATTAAATGCACCGATTTTAAATACAAATACGTTGTGGACAGCTGACTTCATTTGTCGCCGCACCAAACCGCACTAGTTCGTTTCGAATTGCCTAGACTGGCTTCAGGTTCCCGTCCCTGGACAGACGCAAAACAATTGTGAAATCGCCAAAAAGGTGGGGAGAAGAAAGGGGGAACGACAGGGAAACCCGAGCCCGAGGAGCCCTCACTGAGTCACCGTTTCCTGAATGGCGGAGCTCGCGGTTTGGGGGATCGGAAGGCAGCCAGCGCGCAGCAGGCGGATCCCGGGGCCCCGAGCCCCCGGAGCCTGCTGCGGCGGGACCAGACCCCGGCCGGGCACCGCGTGCTGGAGCGCCCCCCTGTGGCCGCGCTGCAGCCCCGCCGCTCTGGGCTCTTCCTACCCACGCTCTCCACCGCAGAAGAAACCAGACACGCAGAAAGTTTCCGAGCCCGGCGCTCTGCAAAAGGACGAGCCGGGTCCGGGAGGGAGTCCTGATGCCCAGGCGGAAAGCGAGCCAGCGCCCAGGCCCGCAACATCAGAAGCCGGGGCTCCCCACGGACCCCAGGCGGGACTCCGGATCCCGCCCGCGCGGGATTTGTCCCTGCAAGCCCACCTTGGAAAGGGGACGTGGGAACAGTGACCACCACCAGGGCAAGGGTATCCCTAGACACCCGACTCCAGGGCGCGCTTTGGGCTTTTGCTTAATTGGAGGGAGGGGCACAGCAGCTCCCTTTAACGCATTGTGATCCCCAGTAATCTGATCCCGGATGTCCCCAAAGAGCCCACCTGGAGTCCCCCGCCCCACCCCCACGCTGCCTTTTCCCTGCTGGGGTGACAAGTGGGAACGGCGAATTCCCAGCTTTCTCCCCCTGCAGCCTTCGGCTTGGGGTGGCGGGGTTGCACCCGGGTTTCCCCGCCGGTCAAGTGGCGGCGGCTAGGGAGGCGGCGCCCGGAATCTGGGGACCCCGAGCCGGCGAGGCCCGGCACCTACCTCGTCCACGGTGAGCGGCATGCAGATTCGGTATTCCTTCAGCAACATGGTCCTGCCGGCCGCGGACCCCCGGAAAAGCAGGGGGTGTCCCAGCAGATGATCGAGGCTGGCACCCAGGCGGAGGGCAGGACGCTCGGAGCCGGCGGGAGCGGCAGCCCCGGCCGTGCGCTCAGCTTCTGGCTGCCTCGGGTCTGCCCCAGAGCATGTCAAGGTTTGGGTCCCGGTGTCGGTGGCTCCCCGTCCTTCTGGCTCGCGGAGATCGCTGCTCCCAGGAACGCGGTATTGCAAAGTCAGGGACTGAGGGAGGGAGACCCGGGAGAGAAAGCTCGGATCGGTAGCACCCGGCTGGTAGGCGCGGCCACCAGATCAGGACATGCCCGGCAGCCAGCGAGGGAGGCAAAAATAAATAAGATTTCCACAAATCCAAACAAATGCACACAAGTCACCCGCTCGGTCTTCCTCCGAAAGCAAAGCTGAACCTGGCGACCCCCCTCGTCCGGCCGGTCTACCCTGCACTAATGTCACCAGGAACACATTGCAGCGGGAGCCCGCGATGCTGACTTTCCAAACAAAGGCTTGATCGGCTCCTCTCCCCGGGCGGTAAACAAGATTTCCTGCTCTTTTTTTAGGGCCAGTCCCCAAGTCTCTCCAGACCTCGGCCGGGAGAGAAAAGGGAAGCAAATGCCGCCGCAGCTCGGCTCTGCCCGGCTCAGGGCCCCGGGTGCATGCAACCTCGGCGGGCCGCTCGCAGGAGCCAGGCGAGCGCAGCTGGCGCCTCCCGCGCGTCCCCTCCCCCGAGTCCCTCGGCCGTGCGAGCGCCGTGCGTGCCCGCGAGTTTGCAGCCACCTCGCTGGGAGAGTCCGCGCCGAGCTGCAGTGTGCCTGGGGCCGGGAGGTGGGTGCGGGAGGAGCGTGCGACGAGGCTGACATCAGCAGCGGCCACGGCGGGGAGGGTAGCCCCATCCGGCCAATGGGGAAATGGCAAAGAATGTGGAGGATTTAAACAAAACAGCATGTTTCTCCCCGGCTGCAGCCAGACGCCTGGGCTGCTCTGGAGCCCAGAGCAGGGAGAACCTGGAGGATGGGAAAGAGGGGCTAGCCTCGACTCCTACCGATTGAATCTGTTTTCAAATGTACCTTGTGGTACACAGGGCTCTGCCTGCTGTGGAAATCCTCTGTCTCCAAAGAGCACAAGTGTCCTTTGACTTTTTTTGGGGGGGGGGTGTCTTTACAAAAGCCCACCACAAACGTTTTTTCCTCCTATCAGGTTAGCAATGGCAGAGCTGAAAAGGCGATGGTTTTGAAAGTCCTGTTTGCTAACCGGTTTCAAGGATGGAATCCTACAATAGCGTGATGAAAACGAAATCCAAACAGTAAGATAGCTGGCAAGCGAGAGCCATACCCGTTGCCTGTTACCTCTTGCCGGCCTGCCTCTGCCACTGTTGGTTTCCCGGAGCAGAAAGAATAGGTTTCCGTGTCAGTACTCCTAAGTTCAAAAAGTCAAAGTGCAACGTCAGTGAAAATGCCCGGAGTCCTGGTATTTCCTCCATATTAAACAGATCTCTCATTTTAACCACAAGAAACACATTCTTCAGTTACTCAGGAAGCAACATGTAACTGCTGGTCTGTTTTTCATTTGTCTGGGTTTTTTTTTTTTTTTAATTGAGCTTGTTTTTCTGAAAAGTTGCTGAATGAAAAATGCATCCATTGCCTATAGAATAACCTGTAAGCATCTAAAAAATATTCTCTGGAAATCTTCAGCTGCTCAGCTTGCATTGGGCAATGTGAATTATATAGGCCTCAATATAGTATTTTTTAAATTATGATTAATAAGTCACTATCTAATGTAATTGGGGATTGGGCTGTGGCTAAAGCTGTCCAGATGGCTGGAGTGAATTTATAGCTCTGCAAATGTGACACAGCCCACTAGGAAAATGACACCCTATATCCAGCTTATATTTTAGTGAAAACTATTTTCTATCTAAATCCCAAAGTTGGCTCTGAAATATTTACAGCAACTCATTAAAGTTAAACCAAATTCCTCGAGGTGGAAAAATCTAAATCTGAGACTATAGTGTTGAGTAATAGCACATTGGACGCTTGCAATACGAAAGGAACACGAGCTTTTTTTTTTTTTTTTTTTTTTTTTTTTTTTTTTTTATTGGTCTTTTTGAGACAGGGTTTCTCTGTAGCCCCAGCTGGCCTGGAATTC